AATTGTTTGGTTGAATTTAATTTTATTTAGACAAAATTATTTCAGAAGAGGTTTTGTGGATATTATAGTAGTTTATAATGGTGGATGTGTCACTCGATTTCGTGGATTAGTTGAAGTTAGACAATAAAATCGTTGGATGCCGACTCAATGTTCTAGTGTTTAAGTGCTCAAGAGCGAGACCGACAAGTTCTGAGTTCGAATCTCGCGAGGCAGGATCGAGGATGCGCACTGCTCAGGAGTCCCACAATAGAAGGAAACGGCCATATAGTGCTTACAGGTTTTCCATGGTGATCTAGCTTCAATTGACTTATGATCTTAACCATTAAAAGTTATTTCAATAAAATATCGACATTACTAAATTACTTCAACTGAATTTCTACATACTAAGTAAATTCTCAAACAAATGTTTAGCTGACCGAAGGGAAAACAGAAATAAAACCCCCACTTCTGTACAAACTATCAAATTATGATGTTATAAATAATCATATCATATTAATTATGTACAGATGAAAATCAACTCATACTCAGGGTAAATTGTATAATAGTTAAACTATAGGACACAGGGTCTTCAAGATCTATATTTAAAAATGTATAATACCGGAAATTCACCGATACAAGTGAAATCCCAAGTCTTATGACAAATTTTAAGATGTTCTTTATCAATGAAGGAGTAATCTCCCATGGTTTGCTGAAAACACTTTTTATTCACAAATGATGAATAGTAATAAGTACCAAGGAAGTTTGAAATTGTGCGTCCAATTTGTTCTAAAACCCTCTTTGTTACACATTAAATAAACATCTTTCTTATAAATTACCATTTTCGAGCATTAAGTAGCTAGTTTCCAACTTCAATACAGTTAGCAAGTCTTTTGTTATTCTTTTCTGCTCTGCAACGCAAACTAGAGTAGTAGGTCCAATTCTTGAATAAAAACTCTCGCAATCAAGATCCAGTGGAATCTTAAATAAATTATAACGATCAGTTATATGTTGATCCAAATGACGGTAGTTTAAAAACTTAGTTCTTGTCAATGAATACAAACTATAGTAGAAACTGAACTGGAACAAATTTATGTAATAAAAATTCATCTTAAATCAATTTTGCTTTTATTCCTCCTATATTGTATTTGTTGATTCTATATACTTAACATAAACATTGACATCTGTTAGAAATAATTGCCTACACCTTTAGGAGAACACAATTAATATTCTTCAATAAATGTTTCATTACATTTCGAAAATTTGTACAGATTTTGTTTACATTCAAGAAGCTATTCCAGTATAATCGATTGAAGTTTAAGGTAAGTAAAATGGACCAATACTATACGTATATTTTTATCATATAATTGTTATTTAACTAAATTATTCATATCCGTGTCCCACTTATTATGAGTTTTGCTTTGACCTGTGAACTAAAATTATATCATTTGACATTCTTAAATTATGCTCTGTCTATTAATTACTACCTCCCTCATTCACAGCCACATTTGGCTAATTCTTGTACAAATGTTGTTGCATATTTTATTGGAACAATGTGGTCTCTTTGATTGGTATATAAACTCCGTATGTTTGAAATAAACGATTAATATTGCAGAGGTTGAGATCGGTGTTGTAGACTTAACTGGCTGAGCTAGGCAGGAAGCAGGACCAATCAGGACTCCAGACTGCTCACATGTGTTTGACGCGTCATTGGTTCGATCCAGAATTCACTGCGGTATCGTTACGTTATACATTAACAGGGCATTCAAGCCACAAGTTATAACAAATAATCACCCATAATAAACAACAAAAGAACTGAAGTATCTGTACATATTTCAAAACTAATAACTATAAAAGTCTAAAGTTTGAAGAGACCGTTCATTAAACATGTAAAAGTCTACTTATGATTCATTTTTATTATTTGAAAAAAGGTCCTTTGTTCAACCGTATATTGCAGAGATTTTTAACAAATGGGTATTCTGTGTTGTGTACGATACGCTCATTGTTATCTATAATAATCATTTAAAACTATTAGAATAATAGTCATTACTTTATATGTAAATTGCACATCTTGTAATATGGAATAATATCACGGTTAAATAAATAAGAATCTTCATGATTCTTATATCAAAATATATTTTCGTTTAATGACTTTCTTATAAAATGTAGAAATATCCCTTACAATGAACCATAATTCTGTGTTAATTTGTCTGGATTATTCTTATTGTTTAAAACCTAAAGAATCAATGAAGAAAATTATGAGTATATAAATGACAATCTGTTTAAGAAACATTTATTTAGTATAAATGGACATTATTTTGTTAGTCAATTAAACTTGATATCAAAAATGATAACTTGTAGCATACAATAAAACATCATGCAACATTTACATGACATAATCTATCTATTGTTTTCTGACTTTGTTTTACCAAATATGTGTTCATATCCCCTTTATCGTGTTAATCCAAACATCCATAAAACAGATTTAATTTATAAATAAATACTTTATATTAAATGATAGTTGACTATTATTAATTACATTGTTAAAATAATACAAAATGATCGTAAGCTGATTCAACTTAAATCACCAAAACAAAAGTCGTAAATTGCAAAACGTGAAATTTAAAAAAAATCGATCATTTCCTTGCCATTAAGTCTATTTTATAACAACTGAAGAACTGTATCAATAACACAATATGCGGAAACCATTAGTTTCGACCAAGGCACTTATATTAAAATGAAACCAACTATAATATCTAGAATTCTAGACGAAATATTCTCAGTAGGTCTAAAACTATGAATAACGAATTACAAATTATGATCATTCCGTATATATAAGAAACTCATTATTGGGACTTGTCAAACAACAATTTGTTCAAAACAAACGAAATAAAACTTCTCTGATTAATTCTATCTGCTTTAAATATTGACAATATCTAATAAATAAATAATAAAACATCAACGATGGAATGTTAAGACATTAGTCATCCTAAGTATCTTAGGTGACAGAAATATTATCTGTTTTCCGACTGACACAAAGAAGAGGAATTACAAAATGCAAGGAAACTATTTGATTTGGTAATTGTTTCCTTTGTTTTCTAGGTTTATTTTCAACGGATTATTTCGGTTATTTTTATATAATGTTAAAAGTAGGGTGATTCCTGGCACATTCAATATCAATGGTTGAGATCATTAGTCAGTTGAAGCTAGACTACCATGAAAACCCTGGAAGCACTGGACGGCCGTTTTCCATGGTGGTCTAGCTTCAACTGACTCACGATCTAAACCACTGAAATTACTACAATATCCATAAAATCCCTTATGACATTCAATATTTTTCACTATCCTATTTCAAATTATGTTTAATTCAGTAATTAATCTACTATTCAACACAATATCAAAACTAAACGTATATCTATTTGCTATTTTCTATATATTGTGATTGAGCATTTTATATTTACAATCACGTGTTATACATCTAAGATCTACGAGGTATCTGGGTGATTATTCTGGCTTTCTGAAATACTGCTTGCAACAGACAACTTCTGTTTAAAAAGTCTTCAGTCATACTAAGTACATGCCATAAAACAGTGAAATTATATACTACTAAAGTAATCCAATTCATAATAAATTGACATATTCTATGTTTTTACTATAAATGAATAGATGAACAAACTAAATCTTTTCAAAAACAATTAATGTTTAAAACAAACAGATAGAACAAATAGAACATAAACGCTATTTGTATATAATTCATAAAGAAAAATGTTTTGATTTTATGACAGATCCGTTTACGTCATCAGACTTCAATGCAGAAATCAGTATTTGTTAAGAGAGAATATGTTTCAGTTCCTTATTCATGTTAGGTAAATCTATGAATTAAAATAGAATAGGTTATCAATTCTTAAGTGTACAATATAAAATCACATATAGTCTGATCTGAAAGTCTCAACCTACATACAGTCGTTTTGTCTAATCTAGAATATTGTTTACTCTTCAAAAAAGAAAAGATTAACAGTGGAAAATGTGTTACATGAATTAAATTTCCTTATCATACACACGCTGTAGTGAACAGAACACGATTGGAGACAATCGGATGTAATTAACACAAAGTTACAGGACTTGTTAATAAAATCTAACAACCAAATAGTAAATGCTCAATTTGCAAAATGTCCACTAATTGTCTCAAAATGACTCAAACTCCATTGTTCTTGCATTCTCATACAAATTGCATTTTCTTTCCATTCTTTACTGTTCGATCCTCTTGTCTCTCTGCTGCTAGATATTCTCTTCACGACTAACATCATATACTACTTACACCAATATAAGTGGCACACACCACAACGCTAACTAACTAGCTAAAATATATTTTCATAATGAAGGATAAGCATAACGTCATAATTACTTTACAAAATATCATTCGTAAGTAAATGTATTAATTAACCAGGTAAGAAATTGTTGAGCTGCTTGTAAAATCTATGACGTACACTGTAGTATCGGAATTACCTTCAATTTTAAATAAAAATCCACTTTTTATTCGTAAACATTAAGTTTAACACATAAAATTACTATTAACTGAATCTTGTTTTTGATGGATTGGTAACAAGTCAATTGATCTACACCAGTTTATACTCTTTATTGTTTGTTATCACTTGTTTATAATCTAAATTGTTTATTTCAAACCTTAACACGATAATGTTTACTGCAGCTGTTACATTCTCATATAACAATATTGTATGGCGTATGTGATATTTGTATATTAATCTAAGGTAATTTGCTGATTAAACGAATTAAACATCATATCAACAGAGATAAAGATGATGAAAGTTGAAGAAATCAATCTTGCAATTAGACAACCCAATTAGTTCTTAATGCACTTTGAAGAATGTTCTGATCATTTACTTTGAAACAAAACTTAAGTAAGTCAAAAATGGATTTTATATTTGGATAAGTTTGATTAAATAGGATTAATTGTTATCACTTTTCAATAGATGATTTATCAGATATTTGTCAATGATTTTCAGATTTAAAGAAGGTCAAAATGAAATCAACGTCAATGAAGGTGACAATTTGATTTTTATCTGTCCATCAAATCGAACATTTTCCCAATCACTTTATTGGGTATGATCAAAATTTATACAAAGCTATATATATATGTAAATTTTCATTGATATATATATATACCTGATAATGCTCAAAAATTCATTCGCATGATCTAATTGAAATCTGTCATTAGTGTATTTATGGTGATACCAGCAAAGATTTACAAGAGAATAACAAAATACTATCCGTTATATAACACGTTTCTACTGACCTCTTATTTGACTAGGCGATAAGTTTTTGAGAAACTGTCTTTTTTTAAGTTACAATTCTTGTTAGTTATTTATAACTACTATTATTAATTATTCAGTTTTGTAAATACACTAACATTTATTCAGCAATTAGATTTTAATATCATTAATAGAAATATCATACAGTAAAGAACTAAGCCTAATTTTATTTCAGTGTCATTCTCTGCTAACCCTGATTATGACAATAAAATAAAGTTTATCTTGAAAAACACTATGGTTTTTTGTTTAAAAACAAAATTTAATCTGTCAAAGTAATAACTACTTAAGTGAGTTGATTTTCTACAAACTCTACATAAAATATATGATTAAACAAAAATCACTGATTTTGTAATAACAGTAAAACATTTTCAGTATAAGGTTGTGGAGTTTATTAAGTTCTGGGTTCGAATTTCACAAACGAGGTCGTGGATGCGCACTGCTGAGGAGCCCCACAATAGAACGAAACGGCCATCCAGTGCTTCTAGATTCTTAAGGGTTCGTAAAGATCAGTCGATTCATGATATTAACCAAAAACAGAATTCTTATTACATATTTTGTTCATTTAACTATTAAACAAATGTAGGTGATCATAATCAAATTGTTAATTATGCCTTCATCAATATGATGAAAGAATTTATCATATGAACATATTATTCTAATATTTTATTCACTTATTCTCAACCAACTGACAGATTTCTATTATTTTACAGTTTTTTTCAGTTGATAAGCCTAAAATACACAACATAAACTACTAGATACACGATATTACTTAAAAACGTTGCTTTAGAGTTCATACTATTTAAAAAAATGAAAGGATTCACGTTTGAATTGCTTGTTTGAGGTCATAATACAATTTGCTCAAGAAATAAATCCTTATCACTAAGTTTGTTTTCAAGTTTTTACATTTAAATTTATACATTTATCCCGGAACTATGTAGAGACAACAAAACGTAAAACCACAAGGTAACTATAAAGTCAAACTTCTGATAGTTTCCTATAGTGTTCCGAGCAAAAATGGAGTTAGAAAATGGTATGTATACTGAAAGGAACTAGACGAATATAACTTCAGTTGTATGTAATAACAATTATGTCACCTTATTTTGAATAGACTATTTACAACATGTGTAAATCTAATGAAAAACCTTAGTGATTTAAAACCTATACTTATTGTTTGCTTTCTTGTTAATAATCTTTTTTTTAATCATAGACAAATGATTCACGAGTAACAATAAAATGCAATCAAACTATACCAATTAAAGTAATTAAACTATTAGATTGTTTCGGTGATAATTATGCAACGGAATTTCTACTCAAAATTAGTAGATTTCATGAAATTTCATCTCTTCCAGTATTTCATCATGAATTACCAATTCATTTTGTAGGTAAGTTATTAAATATCATTACTTAATTGAAAGTATGAATGAAAATAATAAGGTCTGTTTTCATTAGATTCCTTGATTAATCGACAGTAAAATACTTTCTCTAATCACTAAAACTGTTTTCGTGAAAAATTCTGTCATTATGTCAATATATAGAGGTATACAGAAATATGTTTACATATAATATATGAAAGCTATTATAGAGCTTGATCAACTTAAGCCAATGAAGCTTATTATTAAATTTTCTATTAATAAATTCATTTGTTTTATTTTTTTATACTGTTTATTTTATTTACAGCTCAATCGGTTATTTGTCAAAACAGTAACTTCCGCCTAAGTGTTAAGCTGGCGTCAACACATAGGACCACAAGCACAGATAACGTTTCCAATGGTTCCGCAACATATATCCAAAAGTCTAACTTGACAGATCATTATGAAAAATGTAAGTCATTAATTATAATTTGCCTCTTTACACAAAATCCGTATATAAATGTATAACTGCGTTTAACAATATGATTTATCACGTTCTGTCGTAGATATATTGAAAAATGTATTACGAGCATTCCGCTAAACACAAACTACTTTGCATAGAAATTTAACTTAGTAATGATAAAGTTTCCTATAAATTTTCATTTTCCATCCTTTCGCATACTATAGAAGCTTAACTAAGTAACGTGCTGTAGAGATAATCAGCTTATAATGTAACTTCATAATAACTCTTCTCTATTACTTTATTCTTGTTACTTCAAACAAATGTGAACCTTTGTCCAGTCACACACAGATAAATATGATGTTTCAGTGGAAGAGATGAAGAGTTATGACTTTGATAAGAATGAGTTTTGAGTTCCAATAATGTGTAAATAAATATAGAATCTTAATTATATGATGTTTAATTACTCAATGACTTATTCAATAAATCAGAAAATATGGATATAAATGAGTTAAGGAACATGGTGGCACTGAACTTTTCATATCGTATTCTCAATCAAGTTAATATTATATTTTTTGCAAATTGAGTAATTTACAAATGAAAACCTAACACAAAATTGGGTTGGAATATCAAGAAAGAATGAAAGAACTTAATTCATGATCAGTTGAATTACTTTAATCAATAAATATAATCGAAACTGGCACTCTAAGTTATGGTTTTAAACGCTATTCAAAATATTATTCACTTAGTGGTTACATAATGTTATTAAGGCATTATTTCAGAGAGCTGTGTACATCAGTAGACAGTGACCATAACAAGACACCTAACATTTATTATGAATGTTGTTAAATATGCCTTATGTTTTTCAGTTTAATGATAAACCATTTTATTTTACTTAATTGTTTTTTTTTCTCAATAGCTCCTACCTCAAATAAATCATCCTATTTTCATATTAAACGGAAAATTGCAAAATTTATCTCTAATCTTTCTTCGACTTCACATTTAAATCATGAATTTACTAGTACAGATCAAACAACCTGGAAAGAATATCGTTTTCTTATTTTACCAGCAACATTAGCTTTTTTTACATTAATTGGAATGCAAATTGTTTTTTGTAGTTTTTGGTTACCTATTTCAGTGATCAATAAATTCTTTAAACATTTTCGACAATGTAAACGTTTACAAAAATTGAAATCACAATCTAATCAGAAAATTAAACAAAATGAAACTAAAACAATGATGGTTTGCAAAGAAAATTATCAAGATCCAAATCAAAATTTATGTTGTAGTATACCGTCTCAAACATCAGTGAATTCTTGTACAATACATTCAATGAATAAGTCATTTTCTAATTGTAATCCATATATTACTTCTTATGATCAATCAAATGATTGTAAATTATTAAATCAAAGTGATGAAATGAATTGTCATAATGAAAATGATCAATTTCAATTGTTAATACCTAAGAAATCATTAATAGATCATTATGATTATTGTAATCAAACAGATTTATATGAACATTCAAATGTATTATGTAAATGTTCCTATCAACAACATCAACAGATTATTATGAAATTAAATAAAAATCATACAAATATTTTACCGATTTTTATTTCATCTAATATAAAATGACACAAAAATTTTATAACGAATTAAACTATGTCAGAATTGACTTAAACATTAAGGAATAAATGATTTTCGTATTATTATTATTATTATTATTATTATTATTATTATTATTATTATTAATAGTAGTAGTAGTGTGGTATGGGTTATTTATATCCATATAAATAGTATATAATGGTGGTCAGACATAGAATATATTTCGGTAGAAGATTGATAAGGAAGGAACGTAAACGGAACATAGTTGGTATGATAATGCATGAACAATAAAGTCTGAGACAATGAACTGATATTTGCAAAAGAAACAGTGAAGTTTGAGACGATAGATTGATATTTTACAAATTAACTATTTACAATATGGTTCTCAGATTTTAGTGAGATGCTCTGTAATTCCGTGTCAAATAATCCGATTGTCCCCATCTGTTCTTGTTTACTACAGCAATATGTGTAACAAAGATTATTATTTTCTTTTAAATATGAACTGTATAATAATAATACTCCATATAAAAATCAAATGCCTTTTGTTGTTCAGTGCATAAAAGAAACTACTGTGTTAGTGACCTTCAGAGTATATTTTTTTCTCTTCTTTTCTGTTTTTCTTTTCCAAACAATATAAAACTATAGTTTAGTTAATTTTATAAAATTACAAGATGAAAGACCGAATCAAATGTGTCAATTATAAAAAAATTTGAAGGAATTATTTCACTTTGTTGTACCTTTCTTATTCTTTATCTTTAGTATAATACTGTATTTCTATAATATTAATCAAGAAAAAACAAAAGTGAACTAACATTAAACTTTTCAATTCATCTATTTATACTTCTTTATATTATTTCATAGAGAACCAAAAAGAAGAAAGAAGAAAAATTTATGAATAGAGAAGTATATGTTTTTTGTTGTTGCGTCATCTCATATCTTCTTTTATTTTCTTTTTCTTTTTTTCTTGGTGTTTCATTCAAATAATGTTTCATCTTTAATGAACATAAACATCTTAATGACATAGAATTGTTGTAATTTTATGGTGGTTATCTTTCTGTATTTGTGTTACGATCAATGATCATTAGATAAATGAATTTTTAACTTGAATTCTCTGAAGAAGTGACTCACACTAAGTCACGAAACGTCAGAAAATCTAATTTTCTATTACTATATTGTTTTTATTTATAAAATAAAATCGTTCATTGTGCAAAAAAGAAAAATTAAAAAGAAAAGAAAAAAACAGAACAACAATTAAAATATGCGAAAATTAAAAAAAATTATCGAATTTATGGATAAAGATTTTCATGATGGCTTAAATTGTATAAATAGTTTAATGAAATGTTATTGAATTTATTTATTATAATGTTTATTAATTAATATAAATAGGTAATGCGTATTGATTGATTTTGGATTTAATGATTATCAATTAAATTCCCATATTGTGATTTAGAATAATATATATCAGTGAACAATATTGTTTTCGATTGGATCCTTATCAGGTTTTATTCTAATATACAGTAATATTTATATGTATATACAAAATGATTATAAAGAAACAATGCAGTTTGTGAGTGAATGATAACAGTGAAATAGATTACATAATTAAACATAATAAGTGAACGGTACAAATTGGTAGTGTAATGATAAATGTACTAGTTGTGATGAAAATAATAAATGCTTAAATCAATATTACATAATGGGAAATAGGTAACTGATTAGAAAAATGTAGCCGTTGAAATACCATTCGTAAAAACTATAAGAAGTCCTCGGATAATTGAACGATGAAACGTATATTTGAGCGAAAAAACAAAATGGTAAGAGGAGGTGAAGAAACATACACAAAGAAACAGTCTGGAAAATAATAATAAATAAAATCACTCATTAAGCCTAAGGAAGAGATAAGGGTGTTACAAATCTCTTATGAACACAATGACTTGGATTGTTGGCTCGAACTCTTATAGCTTCAGCTATGTATAGAAGACGAGATCAAACACCGTAAGAAAAACTAGTATAAATAGCATAAAAAACTTTAAATAACTTATTTCTGTCTAGTACATTGCCGCTGTCTATCAAGTGTGATAGAATCAATCTGCGTATTGTCTTGACAGTACCTCTTCCTAACCACGAAGGTAGGTGTTCACTAACTTTTTGGTTCAGTTGTCTGGTACTGCGCCCAATGTGACCTTCTCCACAAGTCCATCTGAACTCGTAGATACACATAGAAGTGGCCTAGCCATGTATTCTATCCTACTGTTATCTTTGACTCATAAACTGCCTTGATTAGTTTAATAATATCGTATATACATATAAATATTACTATATATTAGAGTAGCGCCTGATGAGAATCTTATCGAAAACAAGATTGTTCGCTTATATATGTTGTTCTAAATACTTTGAATCAGACTGATTGATACTACTGTCCAGTCAGAAACAAAAATTAATTAGTCACTAGTATTGAGTATAAAAATCAATTTGAGAAACATTTTATATTAACATACACTAATAGAGAAAAAATCTTGACTAACACATTGAATCGTTAATTTCAATTCATAATTGTATAATCTGATAAAGATTTAATAAGAATGATTTTCTTTATTTATACATATTTTGTATAAAGTGTATCATATCAAAAAAGAATGCAAAACTAATTTTACTACTCATATAATTAATCTTTGATTTAATGAAGATTTTCACTGGAATTTTCTAAAATTAAATAAATGACATCATAAGATAATTACATTATAGCTTTCCCTAATAAATCAATATTATATTACTGTAAGGTATTCAAATAATAATGAAGCTATACAATGACAGTGTAATTTGAGATATATATTCTGTATAGTCTATGAACCTTCGTAATGTAATTATTAATTAATGAATAACTTTACAAACACTATCAATAGGATTATGATTCATACTTCATTTGAATTCAGTCACCTTTATTCTTGGTCATTTTTTTAAAATAAAACGTAACTATGAGGTAATTTACTAGACAAACGAACGAACAAACAAACACAATTCATATAAAACTATTTCATTTACTTGATTTCATCAGTTTGATTGTTTATCTTGCAATTTTATTGACTTCAAAGGCAAATAAAACGGTTGGAAGTAAATAAAGTGGAATTAAATTATTATTTTATAAGCACAGATTGGAAGATACAAGCAAAACAAAACCAGATGAATTTCAATTCACCCTGTTGCACAAGCAAGTGGCTATCAGAATTCAGTAGTTGAGTGGATAACGCGATGGCGTTTGAAGCAAATAAAAATGGGTTCGAGTCACAGGGGGAACATCAACTCTGAGATGCAGGCACATCCATCTGACGAGTCCCAAATAGAATGAAACGCGCGTCCTGGATTCTACTGCCAGCCACTATCCATCTGTGCTTATAAAAGCTTGTGAATTAAGGCGATATCGAGGCATACGTACAGTATGCACATATGTCAATAACAGATTGATCAGTTGCAGTCTTAAACCTTCATGGGAAGATACAATCTTAATACCAAGTGAACACTATTTCATTTACTTGATTTTATCAGTTTGATTGTTTATCTTGCAATTTTATTGAATTCAAAGGCAAATAAATCGGTTAAAAGAAGTAAATAATAAAGTAGAATTAAATAATAATTATTTTTTTAATTAAAAAAACGTAATAAATTTTGTGTCCAACCTGGTTTTTGTAATAATTAACTCATAAATTGCTTTGGTTGGTTACATATTTTCACATATCCATATAAATATCCATATATTTTAAAATATTGATAAGGATCCAACTGACAATAATATTGTTTGCTTATATATGTTGATTTAATTAGAATACTAATAAAACTAAGAATTATTTCCATTGAAACTTTTCAAGTATTCATCTTTCTTTTCTTGTATATCAAGATGGATTGTACACATTTCAATTGAATATGTTCCATATGAATAAAAGTAATTAATAATGGCTAAGTCATCTAAATGAATGTTAAGTTGATTTTATTACTAGAATAGAATGAAATCAGATTTGATACTTTATCATGCAATCGTTGGGTGTGTTTCTTAGTTTAGAATTATTTGATTAATGTTTCTAATAGAAAAAATAAGTAATTGTTAAAAAAATCACTTTCATCGTATATTATGATTATTTAAAACATTACGGTGAAGGTAATATCAGTATTGATTTCTCAATTTTTCGACTCTGATAATAATGAAATTACTGCGATACGGTATTGAGTTATGAAAATCGAGTTTAACTTCCTAATGATTGTAACACTATAATTTCAACCGAAAGTGCTTCAGACAAATGTACATTTTTAGTGGACCTGTGTCACGTGCTTAAAATAGAGTATATAAACCTCGGGGTAACTGCTAAATAATATATATATATATGTATATGTTCATAATAGATAATTTCGTTCGTCAATCACATTGACGCTTGAATTCCTCCTATAAACATATGGATATTACTAACTATGACTACTTATCGTTCACCAGGCTAAACTAAATTGGTAATAATTCATAATATTTTTAAAGCGCACAGAAAAAGCAACAATAATTTATTGTAAATATGTCTATCATTCGTTGAAAATTTGTGATCATTCTCTTTCTCTCTCTCTCTCTCTCTCTCTCTCTCTATATATATATATATATATATATATATATATATATATATATATATATATATATATATATATATATATATATATATATATATATATATATATGATGAAACTCTTATTCTAAAGTATCATATTCATCTCAGACATATGTGATTACCGAATGTTCTTATATAATGAAAATGATTTCACATTTCCATTTACTGTAAGAGTTGGTTATAAGAAATTTTTCCAAGGTAATATGTATAAACATGTGCTTAGATTTCCCAAGGTTCATTTAAGACATACTTTATTCAACATAATTCTATTTTATTTGTGATTGTGATTTTAAATAAATGTAAATATTTTTATTAAAATCATTAGGCAAAATTTGACAGTGGCTAGCAGTGGAATCGACGACACGCATTACGTGATAGTTGGGATTCGTT